AAAAATCCTATTTATCCTTTACATAACCGAAGAGATTTGAGTATCGCCTTTTCTGTGGAGAGTGACATAATATTTTTTTGTTTCTGTTTTCGGAAACACCCGTCTGGGTGCTAGGAGTGTCATAATTTATTTTTGCATAACAGTAACTTCTGGGTCGTAGCAAACTTTCTCCTTCATCTGCTTTGTTAGCAAATCAAGCATTAATGTGAATAAGATGAGCAATGAGACTAGTCGTCGGATCCAAAGCAAATTAGTGATAATGATCCATGGTGGGGTATCGCATGTCGACGCACACCTTCGAAACCTTGGCGTGGATGACATGTGCATGTAAGTTCTACTGTTGTCATGCAGATTGACGAGAGATTTGACTTCCGGCCTAAGTTTGAACCCTCAATTCAACCATACTCCGAAAAAACCGTTTAGTCTGCCTGGTGTAAGGGTCGATAAGGGGTGTTGGTTCCCTTGTTCTCTGGGGGAATGATTACTCCTTCTATTTCCTCGAATGATAAAGTACCCAACTTCATCATGAGGGCATTTGAAGCATTGCCATAGTCGTTGTTTTTTCCCAAAAGCATCACCATCTTTTTTATTTATCCCAGGTTTGCAATTCTTGTGGCGCAAACCCCATCCACGAGAGTGGCGCTTAAGTGCGTCCACTTTAAACTAGTTTTCATCAGCTTGGGCTTCTTAAACCACTACTACCTCCGCCAGTGTAGGGAAAATAGGGAAGTGGCCTAAAAATTTGGAGGATGGGTCCGACGACAACTGCTATTGATAAACATGATCGGCTGGCGTCGTTTTGTTTCGGCCTCTGAAAAGGTCGGAGGCCTATCCGAGGCCCGCTATTTTCCCACGCGACAAAGGTACTAGTGGTTTAAGGCACCGGTCTCCCATTCGGCGGTGGTACCTAAAGCGGCCACCTATTAGGTCGCTAAGTCAGCCCCCTCCAGCTTGTGATTAGGGGAGAGCCAGCATCCCTTCTTCGTTGCTTTGCATCAAACCTTCTAGGAAGTGGTTTAGGGTACCCCTCCTCTTCGCCCAAGCACAATACTCGGATCTGAGAAGTCGGTCCGTCCTCCGAATCGGCATAGTACCCCCCCCTTAAAAGCGGTCCACTCTAGGTCGTTAATGGGGCTGGCTCCTAAAGCATGAAAAATAAAAATTGTTTGTATGGATGTGGTACTCTGAAAGGAACATTCTTTCATCTACTTTCTCACTTGTTTGTTGGCTTGAAAGGTTGAGTTTGATGCAGATTGGATCCAGAGAATCCCAAAAAAATGAACCCCTTTTTTTTTTTTTTTTTTTGAAATAAGGCCCTTGTGCAAGGCCTCTATCTTGATGGTGGTAAGAGAACCATCGGGATTGAGGCTTTGCCTGGTGGGCCGCTCCATCTATTGGTGGGGAGCGTCACCTGCTGGAAACCGGGTCCAACGTCCCTTAATTAACACATTGACATACAGTACATCATTGGACGCGACGCCATTTCTGGAAACCGGGTCCAGCGTCCCATATCAAGTCAATTCTGCCAACCAATCCTGCATCCGGGCCAGGTAATGGGGGGGGGCACTGGGGGGCAGCAGTGTAATCTCCCTCCTATCCCTAGCCCCTGCCAACCATCGACTAACCTCAGGGTGTCTGTTGTATTCATCTGCTGAGCATGATTGAGAATGTGCTTGAACAGGGCAAGAGCGAACAGCGAAAGACAGAAAAATGTATCCGTCTGCTGAGCCTCTACTGAACATGACTGAGAATGTGCTGAACGAGGCAGGGAAAAACAGCAGAACAGCAGAAAATAGCAGAAAACAGCAGAAAACAGCAGAAAAGCAGAAAAACAGCAGAAAGCAGAAAAAGCAAAAAAAGCAGAAAAAAGTAGACAAAGTAGAGTCTGCTGAGAGTATACCGAGCGTATACTGTGAGCTGAGCTGCAGCAAGCTGTGACCAACTAGATCCAATCCACCCGGCATCCCGGCTCATGAAAGTGACAGTACTTCTACCAAGGACAACGGGTGGGGGGGGAAGGGGTCTGCGAAGTCCTGGGCTGGTTGTAGCGAGTCATCGGGGTCTCCCTTGATCCAGTCGTGAAAAATCAACTGATAATCTCTTACCATTTCCACCCGGGGTTCCTCCTGTGATTCCCTTCCAGTCCGACAATTCCCAGTCCATTTTACCTCAGCTACCCAACCCTCCCTTTCCCCTCCCAGCCAGTCCTTGCTGAAACAGGAAATAATCCTGTTCATGTCCCCCCAGGTATGTGATTGATCAAGCTTGTCTTTAGCTGCCTTCCATTGGGTCACAATTTCATGTTGGACCAATGTTCGTATTTGTTCCGAAACCCTTTTCGATAACAAAGAGAATTTATTTTTATTTTTATTTTTTATCTTTTCTTGATTTATGCGTGTCATCCTTGCGTAGGGGCGATGCTAATCTTTCGTGCAGCTGATTTCGGTCATGATATCTTTCCATCGTGTGGTCAAAATTGACTACACCTTCAAGCCATTCCAGCCCTGGGAGCCGCTCCAAAAGGAGTTAGCCATGAAGGGCAGGCCTTAAACCACCAGCACTCGGCCAATATGTCGGCCGCGGGGCGTTGTCGTTAACGCCCCGCAAGTTTCGGAGGCTCGGGGTATTGGACCTGAAGGGCTGACGCCGCCAGTCAAAACAATTTATTTTTTTTTTCGCTGGCTGGTCGGTGTGAAACGGCACGCACGGCATATTGAGGCTCGACATCGATAGCTGGGCCAAGTACTGGTGGTTTAAACCACCAGTACCTCCCCGTTGTTTTTTAGAAGTCGCGGCCGTTAACGCGCCGCAACTTTCGGGGGTTGGCCAAGCCAACGCCCGGTCGCTTCACGAAAACAAAACAAAACAAAACAAAACAAAACAAAACAAAACAAAACAAAACAAAACAAAACAAAACAAAACAAACAAACAAACAAACTAGACAAAGCCCGAATCTCTCCGTGTGCGCAGGGGTGGAGAGAGAGAGAGAGAGAGAGAGAGAGAGAGAGAGAGAGAGAGAGAGAGAGAGAATCTTGGCAGCCTGTGCGGGGTCGCTGGGGTGCTCTGTGCAGCCCGCCGAGACTGCAGGCTTCTGGAAATGCACAAACGGTAAATCATGAAGGTGTATCTTTCCCATTTCTAGCGGAAGATTCACTCTCTTTTTGCACATTTTGAGAGCAGTGCAGCGAGGCTCTCTCTCTCTCTCTCTCTCTCTCTCTCTCTCTCTCTCTCTCTCT